CCACTTCCGGCTGTCACCCTTTCCCCAGGTGTCCCCATTTCCTGGGGTCCCTCTTCCGGTTAACCCTCCCTCTATGGGGTCCCGCTCCCCAGCCCCGCCCCCAGGGTACACGGAAGGGCTCGCGGGCACTCACCGGCCCGGCTACGGGGCGGAGCGCGGGTCAATCGGCAGCGGGAGCCTCGTCCGGCAGCGCGCACAGAACCGACCCGCACTCCCTGCCCGGCCGGCCCGGCCCCTCGCGCCGGAAGTGACGTGCAGGGCGTGGAAGGCGGTCGCCGCCCGTGAGTGCGCATGTGCGGGGTGTCGCCGCAGGGCTGGTTGGCTGGCCCCACCTGGCGGCTGCACTCCGCCCAGTGAGCGGAACCTGGGGAGGCGTGTGGTGGGAGAGCAGGGAGCGCCAGCGGGCTGAGATGGGAAAGATGGGGAAACTGAAGTCCAGAGAAGAAAGAAAGCTGCGGTTTTCAGAGAACATACTACAATGTACCTGCTGTTTTGCATCCATTGTCTTATTAAATCCTCATACTTACGGAATTCCCTTATTTCATGATGAGAAACTGGCAGTTTCTGGTCATTGAAAGAAAGGGTTTCAAACCTACAGTAGGGATGAGCATTCCAGGATTCTTCCCACGACAGCTGCCGTCAGGACAGGCTGCTCCAAAAGGGGGGGATTCCAGGCCAGGGTATATCTGTCATTGGCTGAGTGATCTTGGACGCGTCCTATTTTTCCTTGGGTCTCGGTTTCTTTCTGCATCTGTAACATGATTCCTGCTCTGGAATCCTGACTCAATGATCACTACTAATAATTTACTGCTTTAGGGTTCACCAGTCCCCCTTCAGAAAATGGTAAGTTTGGAAAAGGCTTTTACCAGTACCCACCCCTCGCCAAAAACACATATTTTGTGCAACAACTTGAAGACAAATCGTTTAGGTCCCTTTTTTTAAAAGTAAAGAGACTAAACCATTTCTAGAGAGAAATTCTGTGATCTAGAAGGACTCAGAGCCTAAAGCTGTAGGCAAGAGATGGCTGTAAGGATCTCTTCCCTTCCCTACTCCAGGGGTAAGAGAAGTCCAGGGAGCTGGGAACTCACCCCCGAGGGCTCCTGGAACTTGGCAGCTTCTACCGGATGCTAGATTGGGAGGCGGGAGGAAGAGCCTGAGGTTATGAATTTTGACTCCTGCTCTGGCTCCACCACATCTTAGATAAAATACAGAACACTCAATTAAATTTGAATTTCAGATAAACAACAATTTCTTCTTAAATATAAATATATCTCATGCAACATTTGGGTTATAGTTACACTAAAAAAGTACTGCTTTCTATCAGAAGTCAAATTTAATAGGGCATCCTATTTCATAGGGTTTTCCTTCCCCTAAATCTATGTATTATTTTCTTACTGCTGGTATAACAAATTATTACAAATTTAGTGGCTTGAAACAAACAAATATATTCTATTATAGTTCTATAGGTCAGCAGTCTAAAATCAAGGTGTTGGCCTGGGAGAATCCATTTCCTTATTGTTTTAACTTCTAGAGGCCACTTGTGTTCCATAGCTCATGGCCCCTTCCTTGAATCACTTCAACTTGTTACTTCTGTTCTCACATGTACTATGGACTCTAATCCTCTTGTCTTCCTCTTTAAATTAAAAAAAATTTTTCTTTGGCAAAAACACAATATGAGATTTACTCTCTTACTCTGGGGCCTCAGCAGTGTCAAGCACAGAACAAGACTCAGTCACAGTCTGGTGAATGGGCTGATGGGTGGACATGTATATGGGTGCGAACACCATTTGTTAGGGTGAAGCCGGGAATCTTCCTCACCTGGGGCCCATCATTTTGTGAGCATCACCTTCCTCCACCCCCACCCTACCAAAGGGAGGTCAGGCAGCCACCTCTCCTGGGGCCTTGAAGACCTCCCGTCCCAGCGAAACCTTCCGAGGCCCCCCACTTCCGGCTGTCACCCTTTCCCCAGGTGTCCCCATTTCCTGGGGTCCCTCTTCCGGTTAACCCTCCCTCTCAGGGGTCCCGCTCCCCAGCCCCGCCCCCAGGGTACACGGAAGGGCTCGCGGGCACTCACCGGCCCGGCTACGGGGCGGAGCGCGGGTCAATCGGCAGCGGGAGCCTCGTCCGGCAGCGCGCACAGAACCGACCCGCACTCCCTGCCCGGCCGGCCCGGCCCCTCGCGCCGGAAGTGACGTGCAGGGCGTGGAAGGCGGTCGCCGCCCGTGAGTGCGCATGTGCGGGGTGTCGCCGCAGGGCTGGTTGGCTGGCCCCACCTGGCGGCTGCACTCCGCCCAGTGAGCGGAACCTGGGGAGGCGTGTGGTGGGAGAGCAGGGAGCGCCAGCGGGCTGAGATGGGAAAGATGGGGAAACTGAAGTCCAGAGAAGAAAGAAAGCTGCGGTTTTCAGAGAACATACTACAATGTACCTGCTGTTTTGCATCCATTGTCTTATTAAATCCTCATACTTACGGAATTCCCTTATTTCATGATGAGAAACTGGCAGTTTCTGGTCATTGAAAGAAAGGGTTTCAAACCTACACTAGGGATGAGCATTCCAGGATTCTTCCCACGACAGCTGCCGTCAGGACAGGCTGCTCCAAAAGGGGGGGATTCCAGGCCAGGGTATATCTGTCATTGGCTGAGTGATCTTGGACGCGTCCTATTTTTCCTTGGGTCTCGGTTTCTTTCTGCATCTGTAACATGATTCCTGCTCTGGAATCCTGACTCAGTGATCACTACTAATAATTTGCTGCTTTAGGGTTCACCAGTCCCCCTTCAGAAAATGGTAAGTTTGGAAAAGGCTTTTACCAGTACCCACCCCTCGCCAAAAACACATATTTTGTGCAACAACTTGAAGACAAATCGTTTAGGTCCCTTTTTTTAAAAGTAAAGAGACTAAACCATTTCTAGAGAGAAATTCTGTGATCTAGAAGGACTCAGAGCCTTAGCTGAGCTTTAGCTGTAGGCAAGAGATGGCTGTAAGGATCTCTTCCCTTCCCTACTCCAGGGGTAAGAGAAGTCCAGGGAGCTGGGAACTCACCCCCGAGGGCTCCTGGAACTTGGCAGCTTCTACCGGATGCTAGATTGGGAGGCGGGAGGAAGAGCCTGAGGTTATGAATTTTGACTCCTGGTCTGGCTCCACCACATCTTAGATAAAATACAGAACACTCAATTAAATTTGAATTTCAGATAAACAACAATTTCTTCTTAAATATAAATATATCTCATGCAACATTTGGGTTATAGTTACACTAAAAAAGTACTGCTTTCTATCAGAAGTCAAATTTAATAGGGCATCCTATTTCATAGGGTTTTCCTTCCCCTAAATCTATGTATTATTTTCTTACTGCTGGTATAACAAATTATTACAAATTTAGTGGCTTGAAACAAACAAATATATTCTATTATAGTTCTATAGGTCAGCAGTCTAAAATCAAGGTGTTGGCCTGGGAGAATCCATTTCCTTATTGTTTTAACTTCTAGAGGCCACTTGTGTTCCATAGCTCATGGCCCCTTCCTTGAATCACTTCAACTTGTTACTTCTGTTCTCACATGTACTATGGACTCTAATCCTCTTGTCTTCCTCTTTAAATTAAAAAAAATTTTTCTTTGGCAAAAACACAATATGAGATTTACTCTCTTAGCAAAATTTTAAGTATACAATCTATTGTTAGGCTGTGGATACAATATACCCTGCCTCCCTCTTTTTTTTGATGTTCATTATTATTTTATTTTATTTTGCTATTATTAATGTACAATTACATGAACAATATTATGTTTACTAGACTCCCCTTATTATCAAGTCCCCACCACATATCCCATTACAGTCACTGTCCATCAGTATAGTAAGATGCCATAGAATCACTACTGGTCTTCTCTGTGTTGTACTGCCTTCTGTGTGCCCCCCCCCCATATTATGTATGCTAATCATAATGCCCCTTAATCC